GGGAAAGGGGAGGAGGGGAGGAGGCGGAAATCTTTTTTTTTTTTTCAATAAAAAAATTATATTAAAAAAAGATATTTTAAAGTAATAATCTTAACTTTAATGTTTCCAAAATCAATCTAACGTTAGTCATTAATCACTCCAGTCTCTGAGGGTTGTTAGATCTTTTGAAAGAATCACTTGGATTCCTCAGTTGAAACTTCCAGCAGCTAGAACACAAAAAGTGGTATTTGTGTGGTTAGGTGTTCCCCATCCTGAATATATACCAGACAGACATTTGCTCTTTCCTTGTGTTTTACCTTTTTTGCTTTGTTATTTTAAGTTTGTTTGGAATTTTGTGGGGAAAACACATGGAGAGAGAGAGAAAAGTAAAAGGGAGGCAGGGAGAGAGAAAGAGGAGAAGGAGAAGGGTAGAGAATATGTAGTTCAGTGGGTAGAGAGGTGGAAAGGATGTGAAAGGAGTCGGCAGAGGAGAAACGTGATCAACATATATCTTATGCATTTTAAAGGAATCGGGTGAAGATTGTGCAGGGAAGTCATAAAATCTGTTTGTATGATCTTGAGCTGCTCTGTGAATGGTTTTGCCAACCATAGAAACTATTGAACAAGAACAAATGTTCCTCTGAGCACATACTTTCCTAAGCTACTTTGCATGTTGTGTGATTAGGCAAGGGTCCGAGATGTTGAAAGCATTCTTAAAGGCAGCTTGTCAGGGTCCTGAAAAGCACTGTCTAGTCTAGCTCTCAGAGATGAAGTCAGCTGCTCTCTTCTTCTGGGTTCTGCTCTTCTGGGTCCCTGGTGAGAAGGTGAAGGGTAGTGTTGGGAACATCTAATATAGTCACAGATGTTTTCCTTGATTCTCAGCTCTTGGTCATTGGCATGTGTAATTTATTTTTAACTTTCCCAGGCTTTCTTTTATTTGCTGACAGCTCAGAGTGATGCTTGGGATTTTTGTAATAGTTGTTACATGTCTCACACTGAGAGGTGGTTTTGGTACACCTGCAACAATAGTGTTTGTGTGTTTGTCATTTCAGGCTCCACTCGAAACATTGTATTGACCCAGTCTCCTACTTCCTTGGCCGTGTCCTTGGGACAAAGTGTTACTATCTCTTGCAAGTCCAGTGGGAGTGTCAATAAATTTGGCATAAATCTTATGCATTGGTATCAAAAGAAACCAGGGGAGCCCCTCAAACTCTTGATCTATAATGAAGGAATTCGACCATCAGGAATTCCTGCCAGATTCAGTGGTAATGAGGCCTCATTAGACTTCACCCTCACCATCAATACTGTAGAAGCTGATGATGCTGCAACCTATTACTGTCAGCAAGGAATAGACTTTCCTCCCACAGTCCCCTAGGTCTAAGCAAAAACCTCTGAGGTTGCTGCTCCCTGAGGCTCATCATATCAGATGTCTTTCCCCCTGAGACATCTCAACTAGTGTTCTGTAAAAGGCTTGTTTGAGTAAGAAGGAAAAATGCAAAATATAAAATTCTTATGCTCATGAAAGCATTTTTCTTTGCATATCTTATAATTAAATATTTTTTTCTTAATAATATTACTGTTAAAATTTCTCAAACAAGTTTTCCTGGATTTAATAGTCCAATATTTTTTAAAATTAAAGAATATTTTTAAACTTAAAGGAAAAATTTATCTGTCATTTAAAATAAAAAATATTAAACCTTGTTGATGAGCTTACTTACATATACTGAGTAATACTCTTAACCTAAAGCTTGTTTGTTTTTGAGACATGGCCTTACCATGCAGATCCTGCTGTCCTGGAACTCACTATGAAGACAGCCTGGCCCTGAAAGCACAGAAATTTCCTTGTCTCTGCTTTTCAGGTGCTAGGATCAAATATTTGACATACCTCAACTTTCCATGTTTCATTATTTATTTATTTATTAAAAATTTCCACCTCCCCTCCTCCCATTACCCTCCCTCACCATCCCCTCCCTCTCCAGTGCTAAGAGAAGTCAGGGTACCCTGCCCTGTGGGAAGTTTAAGGCCCTCTCCTCTCCATCCAGGTTTAGGAAGGTGAGCATCCAAACAGACTAGGCTCCTTCAAAGCCAATATATGCAGTAGAATCAAAATCCAGTGCCATTATCATTGACTTCTCAGTCAGCCCTTATTGTCAGCCACATTCAGAGAGTCGGGTCTGATTTCATGCCCGTTCAGTCCAAGTCCAGCAGGCCTTGGTGAGCTCCCATTAGATCAGTCACACCGTTTCAGTGGGTGGATGCACCACTGTCAGCAAAGTACCCCTACCACAGTGGCATATATTACATCATAAGCCATACAGAGAAGCAGAAATGTGAGGCTGGGCTGCCTCATATGCTTTTTCTGGTGTCTGTATCTAAGAATGACTTTGAGGGACAGTGGGTGGGGTGGTTTAGGATAAGCAATCAGGAAAAAAACCATGAATCCCAACTTTTACTCTTTTCAGCACCAGAAACACAAAAAAGCTACTATCCTCTCAATTTCAGTAAAAAAAAAAAATCATAGGTTACAGTACTTAGTGGTTAGAAATGAATATTCAGTTGAGGTCATGAAACAAATCAGAAGATACACAAGGAGCTAGAGATTGGGATCTATTCTGAGGCCATTAACTTGCTTAAGTAAAGTGGTGTCAGATGTTCAAGAAAGTTGTCAGTATAAGTGAGGGATATTCTGCTTGCCTAAAATTTAGAGTGCATTTACCAAAGAACATGTGGATTGGGTAAACATGTGCTCTTGCTACTTGGCCTTGTAACCCAGGGTTGGGTTGCCAAGGCCCCCATTTCTCTGCAGCAGCATGATGGTGTCTCTAGCCTTTACATATATCCTTGAATATGTTTGCAGCTGCTGCTCGATATTGTACTGTGCTTTCCTGACTTTCAAGTTTAATGTGAGTGCTCATCTGTTAGCGCTACTCCAAAAAAAGATGCTGACTTCATCAGCACTTGTTATATAACAGTAATCTTATTAGAAAAATAAATTAGTTAGAACTATGCCTTCTGAAAATTTTTAGGCATTAATACATTTGTATATTAAGAAAAAAGTATTCTTTCTTTAAAATTTCTATAAATGTTGTGACATTCTTCCTTTTATTTTCACATTAAGAGTTAATGGGGATTCTAAATTTGCTCTTAATAGTACCTATTTTCTGCTTCTCCTCATCACCACAGTTTTGGAAGCCTATTTCCCAGATATTCATTGTCTTGTCTAGGGCCTTCACCTATGAGCCCTACTGTGTGGTATGAGACTGAGGAAAAAGGAGACAATATACATATTCAAGCACATTCATAAAGATGCTGGTAGAACTGAGGACCAAAGCATCACCAGAAAAGTACTGCAGGGACCAAAGAACAGCAAGACACTATCTCTGGGCTTCTTGAGCATATCTAAAGACAAGTGACTTTTAAGTCTCTACCTTAGCATAGATATTTGAATAAGCATGAAGGAATCTCCTACTTTCTTGAAATAATAGATTCTCTTATAATAAATTACTTTTGTAATTCAAAAACAACACAAACTACAGAAAGCCGAACAACTCTCAACTGAATTACCAATAGATTAAAGAAGAAATAAAGTAATCAAAGACTTCCTGGAATTCAATGAAAAAACATGCACAATATATCCAAACTTATGAGGCACTTTGAAAGCAGTGCTAAGTGGAAAGTTCAAAGTACTAAGTACCTTCATAAAGAATTGGAGAAATCTCACACTAGTGACTTAACAGCACACCTGAAAGATCTAGAACAAAAAGAAGCAAACTCACCTAGGAGGAGTAGATGGCATGAAATAATCAAACTCGGGGTTGAAATCAATAAAATTGAAACAAAGAGAGCAATACAAAGAATCAATGAAACAAAGAATTGATTCTTGAAAATCAACAAGATAGACAAACTCTTTTCCAAACTAACCAAAAGGCAGATAGAGAATATACAAATTAACAAAATAAGAAATAAAAAGGGGGATATAACAATGGACACAGGAAATCCAGAGAATTATCAGGTCATACTTCAAAAACCTGTACTTCACAAAATTAAAAAATCTGAATGTATTGAACAATTTTCTGGATAGGTACCATATACTAAAATTACATCAAGACAAGATAAAGAACTTAAATACACCCATTAACCCTTAAGGGAATGGAAGGAGTCATTAATAGTCTCCCAATCAAAAAAGAAAAAAAAGCAGAAAGCAGAAAATGTGACATGTGAATCAATTAATTGGATTGAATTAAAGACCACGACATAAATACACATACCTTTAGACATCTAATTTTTGTTAAAGAAGCCATAAATACACACTGTAGAAAAGGACAGCATCCTCACCAAATGATGCAGATCAAACTGAATATCTGCATGTAGAGGACTGCAAATAGATCAATATTAATCAACATGCTCAAAACTCATGTTCAAGTGTATCAAAGAGATTAACAGAAATCCATGCACACTGAACTAGATGTAAGAGAATTTGGCATAGGAGACTTTGAATACACTGGCACAGAAGATGATTTTCTGAACAAAAAAACCAATGATCAAATAGTCACAGAAATCAATAATTAATAAACGGAACCTCATGAAAATAAAAAATTTTCTGTAAGGCAAAGGACATAATTAATTGTACAAAGTGGCAGTCTACATAACTGGAAAAGACTTTGACCAGGTTCACATCCAATAACAGTATAATACCCACAATATAGAAAGAAGTCAAAAACGTAGATATCAAATGACCAAATAATTAAATTAAAAATGATGCACAGATCTAAATAGAGAATTCTAAAGAGAGGTTAATAAAATCACTGAAAACACTTAAAGAAATGTTCAACAGCATAGGCTTAGGAAAATGCAAATCAAAATTTCTCTGAGAGTCTATCTCATACTTGTAATAATGACTGAGATCAGTAACACAAGTGACAGCTCATTCTGGCAAAGATATTGAGCAAGGGGAACTCTTCTCCATTGCTGGTGGAAAGGCAAACTTGTATAGTGACTTTGGAAGTCAATATAGCAGTTCCTCAGAAAGTTGAGAATTAATCTACTTTAAAATTCAGCTATAAAAATATTGGTCACATACCCAAAGGATGCTCCATTATATCACAAGGACACTTGTTTAACCATGTGGGTTTATTCACAATAACTGTAAACAGGAAACAACTTTGATTTGCCTTAACAGAAAAATGGATAAAGAAGCTGGTATATTTTACAAATGGAATATTACTCAGCTATTAATAAAATGACATCATGCAATTTACATAAAAATAGATGGAATTAAAAAAATTATCTTGAGTGAAGTAATCCAGACCCAGAAAGATAAATATAGTATGCATTCATCTATAAGAAGATGCTAGATGTTAAGCAAATAGTAACCAAGCTACCATACATAGACCCAAAGAGATATGGTAAAGAAGACGGGTCTAGGTGTCATGCATGCATCTCCCTTGGAAGGGGAAATAGAATAGATTTTATGGTAAGACTGTGTGTGGGTGGAGATGGGAGCAGGGAATCAGGTATAGGATGTAGAAGGAGCTGCGGGCTGCATTCCTGACACACAGCTCCCGGCACCTGGCTAGCTTATGCCCCAAAATAACAACACAAAAACTGTATTCATATAAACACTGCTTGGCCCATTTCTATTAATGTGTGTAGCACCACGAGGTGGTGGTTTATCTTGCCTAACCCATATTTAGTAATCTGTGTAGCACCAGTCTTATCGGGAAAGATTCAGCATGTCTGACCTGGCAGCTTGCTTCATCGCATCTGCCCAGGAGAGGAGAGCATAGCATCTGAGCTCACTTCCTCTTTCTCTCAGCATTCAGTTCTGTTTACTCTACCCACCTATGTTCTAACCTATCAGAACAAGCAGTTTCTTTAGTAATTAACCAATGACCTTCCTCCATCAATAGGAGACATGACGTGGAGGGAAAGAGAGTGCAGCAACAGATAACTTGAAGTGTGTGGGGCAAATGGGAATGAAGTGGAAATCTAATGCAGTGTAAATTCCTAGAATCTATGAAGGTTATAATAATGAGATCTTCTTTTAATGGGAGATACTTAGTCTCAACTGGCCGTCTCTTCTAGCCAGGTGAGGCTTCTAGTGGCAGAAATAGGTTGCATTCAGTTGAGCTTTTGGTAAAGGGTAACCCATGGATATCTCACAAAACTCATGCTGTAGCGAAGACAAAAGTTTGTTTTCTGTAATGATGTTGGGGTCCCATTGCTAAGGATAACACTCACAAAACTCATTAAGCATGAAGAAGTTAAGCTGGTTCATACATGAAGCACTCCCCCGATTTTCTAATATCTATGACACAGAAAGGTACTCTGCATGCTACCAAAGAAAACTGTAATCACCAGATTAACAAAAACGTT